CTGGAGAGCCTAAATTAAATTCACTCGCTTGGACATTGTAAAAATTTCCGAGTTTGGCGAATACTTGTTTTTGTAAAAGACCAATGCCTGATTAAGATAATGCTGTATACTATTACTGCAATATTACATATTTCTTTCCGAGGACTTTCTGCCTCCGGAATATTGAAACTGGATGGAAGATAGCAAATATCTGCCCGATATAGAAGCTTGTCGGTCGAACAAATGTCATTAATTATCAATCCGTCAGCCTTATCTGGCTCTGTTATAAAGTCATGGAAATCACACCGAAGAAAGCGACAATGGAGTTCCTGGAGAAGAACCACCTTCTCTCAGGGCTCCAGCACGGCTTCAGAAACGACCGCCGTTGCCTTTTCAGGTTATTGATCTCGACAAGTCAATGGACTCGCGCACTGGAAGAAGATGGTAGGGTTGGCGTCATCTACACTACTCTCAGGAAGGTGTTCAACAGCATCCCACACAAAAGTCTAATCCATAAACCATCTGAAATTCGAACAAGAAACAAGCTGCTGACATGGATCACAGATTTTCTTAAGGGAAGATCGCAAACCGTGTGCGTTGGTGCCTCGAAGTTGACCCCTGCTGCCGCTCTAAGTGGTGTCCCCCAGGGCTCAGTTTCAGGGCCGTCGTTCCTCGTAGTCTACACCACCAACTGTATCGACGACCTGGGTTGCAGCTCTGTCATGTTTGCTGACGATGTTAAACTGTGGAGAGCCATAAGATGTGACACAGGCGGGCACGCACTTCAAGAGAGTCTCAACCGAGTCTTCAGCTAGTCTGCATGCGGGCTCTTTTATTTTAACGTTGGTAAGCGTGTGGTCATAAGACTCCGTCCCAGAAGGACCAACGAGGAGGATGGCCCCCTCTGATACCTCCTTTATGGGCAGCCTCCTCCAAATGTTAAGAAACAGAATGATCTAAGCGTCCAAATAACCTCGTTTAAACCATCGTCACGGTGTCTAAGGTCAGCTAAACGCGTGCCACCCGTGTTATTTGCGCTGAGACGAGGATTTGTGCAGATCGATAAGGAACGGCTAGGAAAAACCTACGAGGCACTTGTTCGGTCTCACTTCGAGTATCCCGTTTAGGCCTGGCGTCCGTGGTTCAAGACGGATTATAAGCAGCTGGAGCGAATGCAAGCGAGGGCTACGAAGATGGCCAAGAGACTTGGTCATCTGCCTTACGAAGTCAGACTGGCTGAACTTGATTTGTTTCCTATCAGTTGCAGGCAGCTGCACGGCGACGTCATTCAAACCTATCGGATTGCCAGAGGTTATCAGCGTGACCTAGACTTTAATGACTTTTTTGAATTATCTGGAACGGACCGTCTCCGCGGTTGGTGCATACAGAAGTCCGACGGAACGCCTTCTCGCAGAAGGTGGTCGGAGCACGGAACAGACTTCCTGACGCGGTGCTCCTTCCAGAAACCGTTGGAACACATGAATGCGAACTGGACGTTCATTTGCTGAGAAAATACTGCACATATAATCATGATTGTGTCGGTGGAGGCGGTTTGCATTTGCCTTACTCATACTGGTGACTTTTTAACTTTCAGAATTTCTGCTGTAAAAATAGACTTTATTGCTATTTTGAATATGAATAGGGAGCTTAAGGACGAAAACCTTATTCCCTTAATAAATTGACTTAAACTGATTCAAACAGTCGAGCTTAGCAAGATGACAGGCTGCACAATCCAAAGTGACTACTTGCTGGACAAAATAGTTCTATAAGAGGCAGCACTTAAAGTTTGCAAAATAAATGTTCCTTTACTAAAATAGGAATCACCCTAAAAGCACAGAGGAGATTCACAAAAGCGGCTTAAGTCACCGAATTCTACGAGCAATCTTAAGCCTACGCAAGTAATGAAGTTAATGACTTATCTTTTTAGATAGTCAGTCATATGAGGTCGGATGTGGTGGCGCATCTTCCATCGAACAAATGATTGTACTATAGGCATAAACAGATTTTAGGCTAATTAACAAGCACCTACCAATCAAAGGGCAGATTAACTGGCGCACATCTTCAATTTCTATGATAGTCAAGACCTGTGTTATGCAAAATATACGGTTTCCTTCGGACTTGCGACTAACAACTGTTACAGTTAAAGGTCTTCTATCTGTAGTACGCCTTGTGTTAGGCAGTAATTTCATTTCGTACTCTTTTTTACTGTAAGCCTGGACTCTACTCTCCCCGAATGTTTCTTTCTCTTGCCTCGAAAAGTATCCATGTGGCAGTATTTACCAACATCTACGTTTAAACTTTACAACGGCCTCAGAATGTCACTTTCAACGTACATTCATTTATTACTGGCTGCAATTTCTTCTGGTCGTTTCTGGATACCTCGCTTGCACAAGCACGTGACAAAAAGTCAGTTCCTTTTTTGTGACTGAACGCAAAACTTTTTCGAACCCATTTTTCCTAACTGTCTTCAGTTTCCAACATCCCCATTTCCGGCTATGCGCTCTGCGCGCAGACAGAGGTGATAGAATCAAGAGAAAAGGACAGGGTTTGATATATAGGAAGTTTTACGCATGAATTTTAACCACAAAACACTCTAATTCTGATAGAAATTTAAAGAGAGCGCATGTTGCGCAAAACGCACGAGTTAAATGCGTCGGCATTTTTCGCGTCGGCAGGTTAGTTGGAAGTCGTTCTTGCGTAAGAAGAAGGAGTGAAGGAAATGCATATGAAAATTTGACTTACTTCAGAAAATAGAAGCAAAATAACAGGGCGAAGTATATTTTAGAGTGCGCTCTGGTAATTATGGCATGAAAAACAGAGGAACTAGACTGTTCTCCATGGAACTTAGTTGGTTCACTGTCCAGCCTATTTTCCACAGACGAGTCAAAGCCTAAGTGGTGTCGTTCAAACTCTTACCTTCCGCGTGGTATCGCTGATTATCCCGCATTTCGGCGGACATCTTTGCTGTTAATCTACATGGATTTTCTTAGCCAAATCAAATTTCCACATTTAAAGTCAGTGACCGATCCCGTAAATTTAAACCTAAATTCGTAAATGCGTTTTCAATTAGGAAGAATCGTTTAAGTGGAATTACAATACTTACTATCTTGCGACATGATCCTGTGATATTACTGACACTCCAAGCTTTTGAATGCACTGTTTTCCTGCTGCCTGCAAAAACCGTACTTGGCAAAAAACGACTAATGTGGTATACATTGTTCTATTGGCTTTCGCTGCTCATATAAACATTAATATATTTTGTATGGAAAGTACGCAATAGCATCCTTTCCCGTATTTATTTGGTAGAAAGTCACGCCTTCTTCAGCGCGTAAACTAAGAAACATATATTTTCATTTTTAAAAGGTTTTTCGATTCCCAAATAATTTTGAGACCGAACTATCGTTTAATTTGCGTTGAGGGTTTTCAGTCTCCAATCTGTATATTTTTCGTTCAAAGAAAAACATAAACTCCTTCAAGCCGTTAAGAAGACACTTCATGAGACTCGTAAAATGTTAAAATGTTGCGTGCTTAATGAGAAGCATTGTTCAACAGACAGGTACGATGGCATTTGGATGTATATTTCACGGTCTTAGAAATCTTATGATCGGGAACTTTTTTTACAACCAAAAGTTTCCCTTTTTATTGTGTACATTTGAAAAAGACTTGATTCGCTTCCAAATGGATCCAAAAAATGGCATTTTGTGGATTTCTTCTACAAAATAAATTTGTATTTATAGGAGCATCGAAGTCAATAGAAAAAAGCATACCCTGTAAGTGGTGTTTTTTGCTGAGTGCGGTTTTTAGGCAAGCGAGAATAAGTACATTCGAAAACCAATATCCAGTCGTTTTGGAAATATCGCGGGACGACGCCGTCAGAAAATCAGTATCGTAATACCACTTAAGCAATCTTTCCTAATCGAAAACGCATTATAGAATTTCAGTCAACATAGCATGAGATTGGTTACTGTCGGCATTTTATTCCGTCTTCCTACCACAATAGAATGTAGTTGGGATGTCTTCGTTAAATTTTAAGGCGTCAGTAACCCCCTGAATTTTGCCAAAATCCTTAATGCAAAGTGCACACTGATCCCCTTAAGTGTCGAACTTACCAGGCCTGGCTTGCAGGTGGAACGACTTTTCAATAAAGTATTTAATGTGTTCAGGTGACGATGAGTTTGACGAGGTTTGGTGAAAAGGATTTAACAGACTACATCTACAAACGAGACGGGCGCATCATTATCTCCCATGTAACCATGTCGTAGGCATCAGAAAAAATTTGAAAACACTTGATCCCCAGATACATATGAACTAAGCTAGCGGCGATAGCGACAGTAAATCAAGTAAATTGATGCAGGACATTTTTGGGCTTATTCGGTGTCTTTATTACCTAATATTTCTCCTCAATACCATTTAGGAACAGCAACAGAACCATGCGCAGGCATAGAGAAGATAGTTCACAGACGGGGCCTATCAGATGGGCCATAGGCAACGCAGATAATTCGGGCCCCGCCACCTGGCATCCCCTGTTAGTGCTTGCCTGAATAATAAACTTCACAAATACAGTCGCTTATTTTTACGTTAGGTTCGCCGATAGCACTTTATTCATGTGTGCGATGAGGAACACAAGTGACTCGAGTATGCTAGGATGACATGTGCCTACTTTAGCTAATGATGAGGATAAATTGCGCCGCAGTGGCCTCACCCACGTCTCCCATAATTATCAGGTAGCAGTGACAAAACAAAAGTGATAACAACTGCAGTTGGGTGTGAAGCGGTGACTGAGCGAAAGGAACCCATGTCTATCATACAACGCACAAGAGGCCTACTCCAACCAGGGTCTCGGACCTAGCAATGTGGGCAGTTGTTTTAAAGGTCACGGTAAGTTGGAGCCACCGGGTGGTCTTGGTGGTGTGTGTAGAGAGTGTCCAGTTGTGAGTCCATGCGATGGTTGTAGTAGGTTGATCACTTGTTTGCAGGTGTTGACTACGCCTAGCGTCCATTAGCTGGCACCCAAATCTCACATGTGGCTGCGGCCACAACCGCCTCGACCGACGGGCAAAAACCAGGTAAGGGTATCCGTGTGTGCATCTCCGCACACGGTAACTCGGCTCCGCTCCTACCATCGACGGCCGGATGGAACACCGCTTCGGCTTCTCTGGGATGATGCTCCGTGTGTAACCTCGCAGGAGACCACAAGCACTCAGCAAGCTACTGACCCAATGGCTGGGAGACCGCCCCCTCACTTCTCTTTCGCACCTATTCTTCGCCTCTCCCCTCTGCCCCCCACTCTGCCCTCCACTCCACCCTACTCTCTTACCCCATGGTCAAATATTCCACAAATCACCGCATCACCACCTCCAAAACAAAGCTTCGCCAGCAACGCTACTGAGGGTCAAAAGGTAAGTGGCCCCGCAGGTGAGTCGAATATTTCTCGAATGTCTTTGTTTTTTGCTTGCTTGCCTTTGTCTGCTTGTCTGTGCTGGTCCTTCTTGTAAGCCACATACAGTTTTGTTGAATACCGTCCTGTTACATTTTTCTGCTCACCATTTGCATCCCAGCAACCAGTTAGCTTAGAAAGGGACGGGAAACTCTGCTTCTCGTTCCTCTACTCTTCCCTTATCCCCCCCTTCAAAATGTCCTGCGGCCAGAGCGACAGCGGTCACGTAGGCGGCCCAGTATAACTCTACTCGTTCTCCCACAAAGCAAAGTCGTGGCCCATAGTGGAGTCCGGCAGCTGTCTGGAAAGTCTGAGAAGTTCTATTCAGGGAAAGCACTGCTCACCACCGCGAGGGAAGGAGCTAGAAAAAGTACACTAAACAAGTGCTGTGTTCACAACCTCTGCGCTCCGACCATGGCTCACAGACGCAAAACATGTGGTCGAAACAATCACACAAGAAACAACACACCCTCTCTTCCCCTCCTCCTACCCTCCGCCCTACTCCACAGGTAACTAGGGTGAGTCCGCTTACTCTGGCAGCCTGGGATGTTCGTTCCCTTTTAGACTATCAGAAAACCAACCAACTGGGACGGAGGACGGCGCTAGTAGCTCAGTAACTGGCGTGCTACAAGGAGGACATCGTCGCACTCAGCGAGACCCGTTTCCCCGAACAAGACCAAGAGAGGAGGTTGGTGCTGGCTGCACCTTCTTTTTCGTGGCCGCCCTGTCGTAGTCTTCACGGTATGACCTCTTTCGACTGAATGCGATTCATTGGTCTGTCAGACGACCGGAGTTCTCGTCTGCTGGAGGAAGTGCGTCCTTCAATCAATGAATAAACCACCAAGCCGCAGACAACGAGACCCGGTTCTCCGAACAAGACCAACAAGAGGAAGTGGGTGCTGGCTACATCTTCTTGGGGAACGGCCTACCCAAGGCAGATCGACGGGACGCGGGTGTCGACTTTGTCCTTCGAAACGACATTGTGGGACGACTGTCTTGTCTGCCTCAGGACATCAATGATCGCTTTATGAGCCTCCGCCTGCCTCTCTGGGTAGGCAGCGTCTACGCTCCGTTGATGACCAGCCCTGACGTTGCAAGGAACAAATTATACGAGGACCTGCACACCCTCCTGGCGTCTGCTGAAGGCGGATAATTTGATCGCCTTTGGTGACTTCAGCGCCTGCGTCGGCATAGACCATGCTGCCTGGAGTGGAGTGCTGGGTCGTAATGATCTCTACGTCTCAAATGACAATGACCTACTCCTGCTACGAACCTGCGCTAACCACCGCCTCATCCTGACCAACACCTTCTTCCACCTTCCGACGCGGGAGAAGGATACCTGGATGCAACCTCGGTCGCGACTCTGGCACCTGCTGAACCGTGTCCTCGTCCGGAGGCCAGACTAGCGGGACGTGCTGTTGACAAGGGTGATCGCGGGTGCGGATGGGTGGACCGAGCATTTACTCGTTATCTTCAAAATGCGGATTCGTCTACAGCCTCGCAGGAGAGCTCAAGCTAAGCGACCCCCAGGTAAGCAGAAAAGTGTTTTGTTGACTTTGCCTGCTCACCATCTCCATTTCAACGACGAAAGGCGAAAGGCTAACCAACTTTCTGGTCGCCACCGCCGCCGCTGCCGCCGACGTGAACGCCTCCGTGGAGAACCAATGGTGTTAACTGCGGAACGCGGTCCAGTCAACCGCCCTGGTTGTCCTCGGTCGCGCACGTCGCAAACACCAGGGCTGGTTCGATGACAACGACGCCACTATCAGCAATCTGCTCGCCGAGAAGAACCTCCTGCACAAATCCTTCGTCAATCGCCCTACCGAAAACAACAAAGTAGCCTTCCACCGTAGTCGCCGCCTTTGCAACAGCGGCTGCGGGAGATACAGGAGGCGTGGATGGCTCGCAAGGCCGCGCAGATTCAAGGATATGTGGACCGCAGCGGATGTAAGAACTTCTTCACTTCGATCAGGGCTGTCTACGATACGACAGCATCGCTCCTTCTCTCAACGCCAATGGAACAACCCTACTCACTGAAAAGACACAACTTATGCAGCGATAGGCCGAGCATATGAGAGGCGTCCTCAACCGTCCCTCCACCATCTCCGACGCCGCCATCGCCCGTCTGCCTCTAGCAGAGACCAACGCCTACCTCGACCTCTGGCCCTCTCTCCACAAAACCAGCAGCGCCATGCAGCAGCACCCCAGCGGGAAAACGACCGGATTAGACGCGATCCCTGTTGAGATCTACAAGCGCGTTAGCCTTCAACACATGGATCATCTGGTGTCGCTCTACAGAGAAATGTGGCGTCAAGCAGAAGTTCCCTAGAACTTCCAGGACGCCATAATCGTCCTCCTCTACAAGCTGAAAGATAATCGTCAGCTCCGCGACAACCACAGAGGCATCTCCCCGCTGAACATCACCGGGAAGATCGTCGCTCGCATTCTTCTCAACCGTCTGAACAGCCATCTATGACGGGGTCTCCTGCGGGGAAGCCAGTGCGGCATTCGTAGTCATCGTGGGACCACTGATATGACCTTCGTCCCCCGCCAGTTGCAGAAAAACTGTCAGGAGATGCGGATCCACCTCTACTCTGCATTCGTGGACCTGACGAAGGCCTTTGGCACGGTTAATCGTGAAGTACTGTGGAAAATCATGCAGAAATTCGGCGGTTCCGAAAGATTCACTCGGGTGATGCGTCGGCCCCACGATGGCATGACGGCGCGAGTCACGGACAATTGAACTGTCCCAGAGGCATTCGCAGGGACCAACGGAGTGAGGCAGGTCTGCGTCCTCGCACCTTCCCTCTTCATTTTCATGACGAACGCCCACCTCCCACGCAAGTTGGGTGTGTGCCTCTGGGTTCCGTCTCCATGCCGCTCCTCTGCTACATGTGTGATTCGAGTCTGAGACGATCGCGGTGCGTCAGGCACCGTGGCTTGGAAGGCTGCCGACTGACGCCCAACTCAGCCCACGCAGTCTGCCCAGTTGTGTGTGTATGCCTGCTTGGAGTGACGGACTAATGAGCTGAGAGCCAGGCTGAAACGAATCCTTCCTAGTGTGGCCTATGGCACTCACAAGCATGTGAGATATAAGCCGCCCAACCCCCGTTGGGCGAAGTCCTGGTGCTTACGTTTGGGGAACCAGGTCGTGCATGTGGTGCGCGCAGACAAGTTCGGTAGGTATGGCAGCCACTGCGTCCATTCCTCACACCTGAGTACTGACCGGCATGAACATTAAACAGGGGCCCGGGAATGGAAAAGGAGAGTGAGGTCGATGAGCCAGTGCACTTTCCTCACTATAGACAATCTGACGTACTTGAAACTATCACGGTGCGCAAGAAGTCATGGCTTGGAATGTTGCCAATCGACGGGGTAACCTGGGTCTCGCAGTTGGCACAGTGTTGTATGTTTGTGTGGAGCGGCCGACTAGTGATCTAAGAGTCAGGATGCAATGCTTCCTTCTTAGTGTGGCCTTTATGGCACTCCCACTCTCTGGGATCCGAACCAGGTGTGATAGTTTACCTAGGTGCGACTTCGCTCGCGCCAGCCCCCTTTGTTTTTGTTTAAAATTCCGGTTACCTGTTTTGTTTGCCAGGGGGTTCGGGGTGGAGCACCAAGGACTCGACCGTGTCATCCACCTGCTGCCTCCCGCTCCTCTAGTCTTCTTGACTATGTCTTGACTATGCACCCAGTTGGGGAGGAGGCGAGAGTGCGGCAGATGCTGCGCAAGTCTATATTCACTATAAACTAATTCATGTGCAAGTCAGCTTTCCTGCTCTACCTTGCT